GATCTAGAAAGTGCAATATTCCAATATGAATTAGTTAATTGCATCCATTCATTAGGTGATATACATTAGCAGAAGGTCAATCCATTTGAAGCTTGATGTGTTTTACAAATAATAAATTCAAACAGGTAAATTGCAGAGAAATTCAAAATTAAAAGTTTTTTTTATACATTTAAATTCAGAATAGAATCCCCACAACCAAGAGCATATTGCCTGTAACTCCTCAGTTAAGGGCACACGTTCTTTACCAGCCGTCTCCCAAGGCAGTGCCACTCACCACCATGCATACTCTGCAGGAGAAGACAGGTGCTGTTTTGCAGAGGCTGGGTTAAACCACCCCACTCACAGCTGTGTGTCACTGTGTGCAGCGTGGAGACCAGCTGAGGAGCAGCGTTGAGCTGGATGGTCTCAGGAAGCCTCAGACTAAAGGAGTGGTACCTCTGGCTCACTCCGTACATGGCAGAACCAGCCTTCTGCACAACAGCCTAGTAGTGACATGGTGCATTTCAACTGGATACTTAACCTGTAATACTAACTTTTTAAACCAACCCAAGTATAAAGTGAGCCAAACACTGACAGTCTTTCCAACTGTATTCACTTGATCACTGTCACTGGAGTATTTGTGGCTTCCTTAAATCCTTAAATTTGAGTTTTAATTTAGGACTGACTTAACCATAGCAGCAATCAACACTTCTACTGGGTATAAAATGGCCAATATCACAGGTAAAAAAACTTATCCATTTGACTCATTTTTAGGAAAAATTATGTTAAATGAAGTTTTCTTCTTTAGCCATTCCTGGATGTTCAGTAATAAAAATGGGGTTTCTTGTTATCAGCATTTATTAAAATTTTATGTTAAAGGTAATGTAGAAATAAGGAAAATAAAAGTAGATTTTCTTTTGTTCCTTTAGAACTTAAAATATGTCCAGACTTAATCATTAATAAGATTTAGAATAGTGAGACAATCAATTCACTGTGATATCTGAAAAATGTCTGAAATAACATTTTATAGGATAATCACAGTATTGGGGGGTTGCTTTACATACAATATTGCTTATGTGTAGAACAGTATTTTTACATTATATATATAAAGCATCTGTCTGGAGTAAGGACTGATACCATCCTGCACACAATTCAAGGGCCATAATTCTTAAGAGATCTCAAAGAGTGAGCCTCTTTCAAATGACCAGGCTTAGAGACATTTAGAGAATTGATTCAATTAACCTAGAGGGAAAAAGTGCTATAATGTATGATTTATGTTTGCAGATAAATTAAAATACAAGTATCTCTTGAAGAGCATTTGCTGCCATCATGGTCAGTAATGAAAATAGCAGGCAATTAAAATTGGACACCTGAGGCTGAAGCTTTTACTGTCCATATCAGAAAATGAAGTTGAGATTTTTTAAGTGGAAATCTGAGCTGAAAAATAACTTGGAGGAAGTTTCTTTTCAGTCCCTATTTTTCTTCCAAAAGTGGTTTCTAAAGCACATAAGAAATAGGAACAGGCATTTACTGAGGCAGGAGGCAAAGGGTACAGAAGAGCAAGCTCTCTCAATCAACACTGAATTTGTATGAGGACCTAGGGATATCCTTGCTAAATGGCAGTGGGCTAGCTGAGAGAAATATATATAAAAGAAATTATGGGTCAGATTGAAATAATTTTAGAGCAGGTTTTGAAGCTGATCTTGAAATGAATCACTGGAAGTGTCTGACAGAATTATGTGATTCACTTCACGTGGGTGACAAAGTGCTTGGAGTCAGGAGCTCACTACAGAGCATAAGAAATGATCACAGATTTGAAGTAGCAAGAATGAAGAGCTCTGTCCATTTCCATGGTGTATCAGAATACACTTTGGCACAGCTTCTCTGCCCAGAAGAGCTATGTGAGATACAAATAGTTTCACCCAATTCTCTAGTGTTACAACTTCCTTTAGGCAATGGGGACACAGTAGTATAGAGCAGAAAAATACCAGTACTCTTAGCAGGAATGCCTTGATTACATCTGCATTGTCTTTGAAATCACAGCTGTGTCTTTTGCACCCTCTCTAGCTACCAAAGGTCCTGTTTCCATCAGACGTTGTTTGTATAATCAATGTCTAGGTCCTTGTCTATAAATAATAATGGTTTCTGAGGGTGAGTTGAGAAACTGAGACCTGTGAGTGAAACAAAGATGTTTCTTCAAATTATGCGTTCACATTGATCTAAGAATAAAACTCTTTCAGAATGATTGTGATCTTGGCTTATATACTAGCCTAAATTCTAATACTAAAGTAAGAAACAATTGCTTGGTTGTTCTTTATTTTTTTTGACAGCTATTTCCTCACAAAGTATGAAGGCAGCAGTATCTTTGCCATTACAGTCTGGAACTGAACATATTTGTTTCCTGATTCGCTAAGTAGGAGTTTAATTAAACCCATTCAATCGAGTGAAAATAAAGCCAGTTTGACTCAATTGCCAGTCGATACAGTATTAACAATTCACAAAAAAAAAACAGCAAATCAACAAAACAGAACAAAACAACCCCAAAACCAACCAGGAGCTACAGGAGTGCAATAAGAATAAGTGGTTTCTCTGTTGTACATCGGAGTTTAGGGACCGCAGAACTCGGGCTGAACCTGGGGTGTTGTTCCTGTTCTTTCTTTTCTTGGCAATTGTTGGACTCACTTTTTTAATTTCACAAATCAATTAGTTTGCTTCTGTATTCATTGTTATTGCTGAGTTATTGTCCTAATGTCCAAGGGCGGCCATCCCTCCCACAAAGAAATTGCACTAAATATCATTCACTTGCAGGATTTGAAGCCATGACTCAATTTGCCATCATAAAGTAGGCAGAGTAGTGCTGTATCACTGAAGCAGCTCAGCAAACTGGACCCACCAGTGTGACCAGCATAGTGTTACAGACCTTGCTCTTAAGTCTGTTCAGTTAAGTTACTGTTGTACTTAATGAGAACTCACTTGTAGTCTTTGTGCTAAGGCCTCCATCATTGTCTTCCAGGATGGTGGAAGAGGAACTGTGGTTGGCCACTTGATGTCAGGAAGACACAACAGCATGGCTGGCATGTTCTCCTGGGGAGCCCCCTGAGGCTGGCTGTAGACCAGAAGCCTGCAAACAGTAAGTGCAGTGCTGTTCTCCACTGGGGAAGGCCAGTGAGGTGTAGGTAGTGAATAGCCCAACCATAGTCTGCTTTGAGTGCTTTTGCAAACTGAATTGCTTTTAGATGTAAGAGGAGTGTGGTTTGTACGGCAAGTAGTTGATGGAGGTTGGACTAAGCAGCTCCAGATTATGTGGGTTTGAACTGCATCTCCACATGCACTGGAATCCCTTCTCACCAAAATCTCCTGAACCTCACTGACTTGATTCAGTAATGAAGCTGTTGCAGGGTTTCCTCATTCCTGAATCTGGTTGAAACACAGTCATTTTTTAAAGAAGCACATCCTCAGGCTGATTTATTTTACAAGAGCTTTCAGAAGGTGTCACCCTCGTGATGAAGTGCTGGGTCTGTGTTGCCAGGGTGCCATTAAAAATTGAATTTCTGCCGTTTAAAAGTCTCACTCATCCCCAGTGTCACAGTTCGACAGCTCTGCTGTCAATGTCTGTAATGTCGCATTACACACAGGACTGTGGATCCATTTCCTGTCGGGGAAAAAGGAAAAAAAAAAAGATGAAAAATGAGAGAGCAAAACCTGCAGCCTCCTTCATTACTGTGCTGGAGGTACACAGAGGCGTTTAACCCTCAAACAAAAATGGCACTCTGTATCTTGTGAGGTCTTTCTGGGCACAAGCAAGCTTTGTCCCATGCTCCAGTTCAAACACTCAGAGAACAGTGGGACAGACTTTTCAGTTGTCCACGAGCTTGTAAAACACAGAACAAGGAATATCTATGGAATCAGCAAACTGATACTTAACATAATCAAAATATGGCCCTTTCCCGTTGCTTACTCTTGGCTGGGTCAAAAGAAAGTCACCTGGTGTATTTGTTGTTGCTCTGTTTTGCCAGCTTTAGACGGCCGTAACTTTGGTGTCTTTTCCCTGTTGATCTGTCTGCGATGATGGTTGGCAGTGTTTGCCTCCGTAAGCAGAACCTTACTGATTTCGCCTAAAGTAACAGAAGTGGTCTGGGCTCTGTGATTTCTGTCGGGAAGTTTTGACCAGGGGGAGCGCAGGGCTTTGTCCATGAATTCCTGATGTCCCTCAGCCCAGCCAGGGAGCGAGCTCCAGCCACGAGACAGTGAGTGGTGGCTCCAGCTTGTGTTTGGCTGCTGACCCGCAGTAACCCACTGCAGGACGGTGCCCAGCCTCTTGCATCAGTTGGCCTCCTCCTACCAGGGCCCCCTAGAAATAATGGCTGGGAAGGGGTGGCTGCTGCTTGAGCAACTGATTCTGCCCTTCGGACCTCTTCCTTTGGCAAAGCGCTTCCCAGAGGGCAGAACGCCTGAGCCGGGCCGCGGGCCCTGCCCCTGCTCCCCCCTCCTGGTCGCGTCCTTCCCCGAAGGGAGCCTGGAAGCAGAGGTGTCCCCGCCGCAGGAGTCCCGCGCTCCGGGCTGCCCGGCTCGGGAGCGCGCTCTGCGTGGTGGCGCGGCCGGCAGGGGGCAGCAGGCGGACGGGGATGGCGCCGCCGCGGGCAGGTAGGGCTGGCGCGGGGGGGGGCGCTGCCGTGGCTGCGAGCGGGACCGCGCGGGCGCTGCGGTATCAGCTGCGGCCGAAGGAGAAGCGGCGCGGCCGGGGAGCAGTGGGCGCGGCTGGAGGGGACGGGAGGGCAGCGCCGGCGCCAGGTGCTGGCCGGGGAGCGGGGTCGGGCGCGCTGTCCGCAGGCGGAGGCTTCGCCCCGCCGGACCCGTGCCCTCGCCGCTTCTCGGGCTGGGACCTGTGAGGGGCCACCCACCCGGCCCGGCCCCGCCGACTGTGCAGCGGCTCCGCGCCCGGGGCCGCGCTGGGAGGCAGTGTCGCTGCCGGGTCTCCCCCCCCCCCGCCCCGGGCCCCGTTAGTGCTTCCCGAGTGTTGTCCAGACTCCCCCGCGGCGAGGGCTCCTCACGGGATGCCCCGGTCGGGGCGGCGCGGGGCCGGCTCTGGCCTCCCCCGGACGCGGCGCCTCCCCGCCGGCACGCAGCAGATGGGGGGAGGACACCGAGGCTTTGGCGGCCCCCGCTCCCCGCCCGCGCTGACCGGGCTCCCCAGGCCCGCTCCCCGAGCGCGTCTCCCCGCGCGCGGCGGGGGAATCCCCACGCGGGGGCTGCGGGGCGCCGCGGCTGCGCCGCTCTACGCTAGGTAGGACGGACCTGCCCCCCTGCCTCTGCCCTCATGTCCAATAAGAAGAGACCCGGCTTGACACCTGCCTATATACAGGGGAGGAGAGCAGCATCTTCAGCGCCGGTCTTTGGAGGGGGGGGTGGGGGCACCAACCCAAAACACATCAGATCAGAGCGGGGGGCTCGGTGATACTATATAACACCCCCCCCCCCCCCCCTCCCCGAGACTATGACTTCCAGTAAAATTGAGATGCCAGGGGAGGTGAAGGCAGATCCTGCAGCTCTGATGGCATCTCTGCATCTGCTGCCTTCTCCCACTCTCAACCTTGAAATCAAATACACCAAGGTAAGTTGTGTTCGTTTGTTCTGGCAGGGAAGTTCATGGCTTTCCCTCCAAAGGAGGGATTTTACTTAAAATCAGTTTTATTCTGCCCTACCCAACTTGAGTGTACAGATGAAAAACTGCTAAAAGGCTGCCTTGCATCTGTAATAAAGGAAACGGGTTCTTAGCCCTGTAATATCTGAAAAACCACAGGATAATAGAAGAGCAAATTAGATCTGCTGGGACTGGCTTTGCCACTTCTCTTTAAATGCAGTATTTTCTACAGAGCTGTTGGGGTTTCTTTTCAGTGCAAAATCGGTATTTCTCAAGTACATTTCAGTGGCATTTGATGTACTTCAGAGGAAGTTACTGTGCGTACCTGTATGTCTCAATCAGAAAATAAAAACGTTTTCTTTCTTGAATTACCGTGTGTGCCCAAGGGACTCCTTTTCAGTTCCTGGAGGACTTCTAATACTACCAGGTTGTTACAGCACTGGAACAGATCTCTGCTAACTTCTGTGATGCTTGAGTACACCCTTGAACAATATTGCAAGAGGGCATATTTTTCCTACTAACGTTTAAGACTGATTTTCGTAAAGAGAAGGTTAAGAACAAACCCATTGGGTCAATGTAAAAAAATCTGCTGGTTTTCTATGGTGTGTTGTGGGACTGAATTGTGGTTGTTAATTAAAATGGACTTTAAGAGCAGTCATTGGTTTTAAATGCAATCTGAATTTTTAAATTTGTTTCTATATTTTGGATCCTTGCATCTTTAGCATCTGTAGTTAAAGCCTGTTTTCGTTTCTGTTGGAGAAGTTTCAGATATATTGTATAAACAGATTACAATGTGTCAGACAGACTTTGTTTCTAATTACTGAGTAACTTAATAGGAAAATAAGCACATCAGCACTGGAAAAAGGTGATAACATTTTTATCTACTGGAAATACAACTTCAGAAGCTTTAAAGCTGATAGCAAACTCATTTTGGCTGATGTAGTGTATTTCTTTCCTCTGTATCATCACTTTAAAAGCTTTTCATCTTTTCTCTTTTTTTTCAAGCGGGTGCCAAAACCAATTTGTCCTCTAATTTGTTACAGCAATTCCATGTTCTAGAAGAATGTTCCGAGGAAAGTGAACTCTTTTAGGTTTCATTATGTTTCAGTGCAAACTGCAATATGCAAATTAAAACACGCATAATGTTTCTTGAATATAATTTCTTTGAAAATGGTTTAAATCTTGAATGGAGTTACTTGATGTTGTGTGGTGTTACACTTTGGAAGGAGTCATACTGTGCAAACAGTGTTTGGCATGAATTTTGCTCCTTGCTGGTTTCAGTGTGAGTTGTGCTTCAGGAGCATTTGGTGGATACTCAAGAGTAGTATCACAGTCAGTTTGTACAGTAACTGTGCTTGTGTTTCTCTGTTCAAATAATAGAATTGGTTCGAAAAATCTTGGGAAAAGATAACTTATCAGCAGTCACATCTTCTGATCAGTGAGAACTTAAACTGCATAATTCAGAATATATAGTGCCATCATCTCCAAAATATGCAAGATGTTACACATTTTATACTAATGAAACAAGGAAAAGAAAGTTATTTTATTTCAGTATTAAGCCAAAAACAACAGCAGCAAGATTCCTCTGAGCTTGGTTTTGAGATATCTAAAAAATAACTCCTGGTTGCTTTTGACAGAAATTTGGTTTAAGACAGGTATCAAATATTTCACTTTGCCGAATCCTCTGTCTCTGTTTTCCTGTCTCTCTCTTCCCTCCTTTTTCTCTGCAGGAAATACAAGTGATTTATAGATAATTGGAGTCTTCAGCTTGGAGTCTTGTCTTGGGCAGGACTTTTATCCAGGATCCACTTTCCCACCTATTACAAAGAAAAACAATCAAAAATGAAATAATGGATTGTAACTCGATTCTTTCTTTGGGGGGAGTGGTCGCTTCATGTCTTAAATGACAAACAACTTCCATAAACAATAAATAACATTAGACTAAAGCACTTCAGCAAAAAAAAAACCCTCCAACAACCCCAAACCTTGTAAAATCAGACATCTGTAACCATTCCTAGAGCCTCTCTCCTGCTTGTTAGCTGAGAATTTTAAATACACAACCAGGACTCAGAACGCTCAAACTCTTGACTACAGCTGTCTCTGAACATAAAACCTTCACCATTTGGGAGTTAATTCTTTATGAAAAATAGAGGTACCTGTGAACACTTGAACTGAGTGAAGTAATTTTAAGATATGTTTTTCCAATTAAATTCCATTTATGGAATTCTGAAATTGGGAAATAGTTTTGTTAGGATAGAGAATGTTAAAATTCCATGAAATGAGATTTGTTAAAGATTTGTCCTATGTGAAACAGAAATGGAGAAAAAGTAACTGTATTATTCATTAATCTTGAAAATACTGCGTTTTCTATGGGATCGCTGTGAGAGCATCTTCCAAGAACACAGATAAAACAACCACCACCCGTGTAATTTTCATTTGTTCGATTATTTGGCACAGTTACTGAAACTTGTGAAACATTCCTCTGGTGGGTTTCCTGACTTGAGCAGAAAATCGTGTGTGTTCAGCCCTTCTGATCTGTGCACCTGACGGAGCCACAGAGGTGATGGAGTTTTTCAGAAACAATACATTTGGTGATAAAAATTGTTTCTATGCAAGATGTGCAGCAGTATCTATTGTGACCTCAATACTGGCAATCAGCCTATGCTGCTTTAAAAAAACAATCATTCAAAATGTTTTTCCCAGCTTTTTAATACCTTGGCATAGTCTCTGTGAAAAATAAAGTGTGTGAGATGTGCGTGATAAGAATTGGTGGACAGGATGTGAACCAGACATGAAGACGAGTGTTCAAGCACACAGGGTTAAGGTTTTTTTGTGAGGCTGGCAAGTACTAAAACTGCTACATGCAAGATTGCCTCTTTTTTCATTGGAATAACTCTTTAACTCTCTACTTCTTAACATTAACTTTTGGGGAGGGGTTGCATCTACAGAACGAGGCATCTTCCAGTATTGCACGGAATTGGGTTATTCTACAGCCTTGTGGCACAGCAAGCCCTCCTTCAGGCTTGTCAGGACTGTGTTGGCAGTGCTGTGCTTTATGTGTTAGCAAGCATGCAGGTGGGAAGGGGATCCAGCTCTCTGGCAACAAGTCCGACTTCTACAAGTGTCATCTTGATGCCGGGAACTCTCAGAATGGGCTGCTCCAGGTCTATCAGATGGGTGAGATAAGCTGTAGCATGATACCCAGTAAGGATACGTTGTTAGCATGTTTTGTACAGGAAAGGCTCCTGAGCTGGTGGCTCTGTGAACCTGATAGATTCTGTTGGTGATCGGAGGATTCTCAGTTTAGTATTATATTGATGCCTTCCTCCTTGATGCTCTTACAAAAACTCCATTCTCCCTTCTGAGACCTGATGGTCTCCCAGGTGTATGACAGTAGATGTGGAATCAGCCTTTGCAGTGTTTTCCTCCTGCTATCTCTGTTTGAGGGGCTACAGGTGTTTCCACAGAATGTAGCTGTCCTTCCTTTGTTATGGCATAATCAAATCTGCATTACAAAGTATTTTCATAGTGGTTTTAGTAAGTCACATTGACTTCAAAAGACAGCTTGGTTTAAAACGAGGACCCTAGGGCTCTGTCCTGTGCTAGCTGTGCCTCTAAATCATGTAACTGAATGAACAGACATCTTCAGTTTGCATCATGCTGGGGACACTAATCCAGCTGGATGTTTTGTTTCTTGCATGCCAACTGATTTAAGTCTGAGAATGAATTGAAGAATTGCAGTCTTGAGAGCTTTTTATGAAGAGGTGCTCTAAAAGGGTGAAGTTACAGCGCTGTGGCAGTGAAATGTACAGGAGCGTTTCTGTCAGGAGAGCCTGTGAATTGACTGACAACTGGGGGGTTGTCCTGTATAAACGTGTTTGCCTCTACTCAGACTTCATAAAATCAAGTCAGTCTAAAACCAGATCAAGTCTAAACTCAGACCAGGTAAACTACCCAGCACTGCAACAGAAAACTGTATACAGCAATGCGTACAAAGCGTAGGCAAACTCTTCTGGGTAGACAAGAACTAACAACTACATTTCAAGTTCTCATATGGTAAGTTTTTGGGCTTAAAGTGTTTTGTTACTAAGTAAGTTTCTGTATTTTCATTCCCATTGTGCTTTCTTGGCATTAATGCTGCGGAATGCTATTACAAAGTCTTTTTACTAAAATTTCCAGTACGTATTTTCCAGATAAAATTCTAGACTGACATTAACATAGGAGGCAGGAAGTCTATTTTATTTAGAATAACATAGAGAATCCATGTGAGTTTTTGACAAGCTTTGGCAAAACTCAGGTAAGTGATGAATACATGCTATTTCCCATCTCTTTCCCTGAGTGAGCTCACTACTTTAATGCCTTCTGAAGTTAGATTCAGTGGCTGATAGCTGAAGAACTCAGTGAACCTTTTGGGTCAGCTCAGTGAGCGCTGTCCAATTGCAGAAGATGGGCACAGAAAAATCAGAGATGTTTGCATGAAGAACAGACAAAGAGAACAGCTACTTTTCCCCTTTATGGAACACTGCAGCATCTGGTGTAGACACTGGGTATGTCCCTCTGTATCACCACGTGTGACATTTTAGGGTATATACTGTATTTAGATTTATTGCTGTTTAAATCTACAGTTGAATTCTCTTCTAGTGTATTCATACTTTGTGGATAGTATTACAATCCATTATCCCATGTAGCAATTGCAAACTATTTACGCACTTCTTTCCAGTAACAGCCTGGATATAGGATCCTTTCCCCCCAGACCTTTAAGGTCTTCAACAGAACCCCAATGTAACCAGCTTTTGCATAAGGGATCAAGAAACAATTGTAATCTTATGTGTATTAAGTCCCCTGTCTTTGCTTACTCTTCTGCTTCTAACTGTGTTAATTCAAAAGCATTAAAAATACTGAATCTACCAGGCTGAAACTGGCAAGAGCTAGGTATCTACTGCAGATAACTGCTGCATTACTGAGTAGGT